ACTTTTACTATGTGACGTTTTATAATGTACATGAACGTTTTATGTAGTGCCCTTAGATTTTAGTTGTGCATTTGGGCTGTAGAAATAAACTGAGCTAAACGGCACAACTCTACTAACTTTACTACTAAGTTGAGGGTGCACGTAGACGCATAATTATTTATTTAAAGTGTAATAAAGCAGCTTCCTCCCACATAATCAGATAAGAAACAATGAAAACACTTTGATCATATCGGCCTTCTTTAATTAAGATGGGCTGTCGGTGTTGGAGATTTTTTAATGACATTCTGAACGTTCCGACTTTATTGTCGTTTCCATCCCATGTGGTACATGAGGTGGAAGAAAACTGTGTACACAGGGTCCAACAATAGCAAAAATATAGTATCAAGTATAAAAAGAAACTGTAAATAAGGATCTAAGATATATGCTAAATGCTAATAATGCAAAACAATACAGCATAACAGCAGCAGCCTAAACACTGAGTCTGAGCAGATAAGTATAACTGAATACAACAGCAGGAAATAATCAGCAGCAGCTTGAGATCAGCAGCATGGATAATCAGCAGCATCGCTAAAGTCACATATCACCAATTAAAGTGGTATTACAGTGGTTATCCTGGTTAGGGATTCATGAGTCTAACAGGGTAGAAGCTGTTCCTCAGTCTAGTGGTTCTACACTTAATGCTCTGCAACCTCCTTCCTGAGGGGAGCAGGGCAAAACGTGTGTGTGCTGGGTGAGTGGGGTACTTCATGATGCAGGTGGCCCTCTTCCTGCATCTGGAGGTGTAGATACCATACCATTTTATTTATAGAGCACTTAAAACGGCTACAAGGCCAACCAAAGTGCTGTAGAGACAGAACAACAGACAACACACGAAGCGATATACAAAATGAAGTAAATCAAAAATATAAACATAAAATAGATGCAGATAATAAATATGACGACAAACCAGTGTGGAGCGTACAGGTTCAAAACACAGATCATCTGGTGTTGAAAGCTACTGAATAGTAGTGAGTTTTTAAATGGGATTTGAAAATCGAGAGGGAGGGGGGCCTGTCTGACAAGCAGAGGTAACTCGTTCCAAATCTTGGTCCTGCTACAGGACAGATGTTTGTGATGGTGGGGATGTTGACTCCAACAGACTTCTGTGCAGCCTTCACCACTCTCTGCAAAGCGTTTCTTTCTGCAGCTGTGCAGCCTCCATGCCACACGTTGATGCTGGAGCGCAGGATGCTCTCCACTGCACACCTGAAGGAGGTGAGGACTGAGCTTCCCAGACCAGCTCGCCTCAGCCACCTGAGGAAGTAGAGTCTCTGATGAGCTTTCTTGATCAGGCGTTGTTGCCCCAGCTGAGGTTGTCGTTCAGGTGCACACCCAAGTACTTGTAGCTGGAGACCACTTCCACTGCAGATCCTCCTATGTTCAGGCTGAGGTAGGTGTGTTTGCTCCGTCTGAAATCCACGACCATTTCCTTTGTCTTCTTCACATTGATGTGAAGGTTATCCTTCCTGCACCAGCTCTCCAGGTGTTCCACCTTCCGCCTGTAGCCGAACTCGTCGTTGTTTGTGATGCATCCCACCACCGCTGTATCATCTGCAAACTTTACAGCGTGACAGCCTTGATGGGTAGCTGCACAGTGATATGTGAGCAAAGTGAACAAGAGGGGGCTCAACACACAGCCCTGAGGGAAGCTAGTGCTGAGGGTTTTGGTGGAGGAGGAGAAGTTGTGGATCCTCACTGACTGTGGTCTGTTTGTTAAGAAGTTTAGGACCCAGTTGCAAATGGAGGGGCTTAGTCATAGTGTGAGTTTGTCCATCAGTGTTTGGGGGATCATGGTGTTGAAGGCAGATGTGAAGTCCACAAAGAGCATAGGAGTCCTTCTGCTCCAGGTGGGTGAGAGCAGTGTGGACCACAGAGGAGATGACATCTTCTGTTGATCGATTTTTGTGGTATGCATACTGGTGTGGGTCCTCGTTGATGTCGATGGTAGCTTTGTCAGTGTGACAAATCCCATTCTTTTCAAATCTGATCCAGGTCTTTTTTATATGTGGTACTAAATCAAATAAATATCTGATGTCCTGAATGATTGAGAATCTATAGCAGAACATATAGTACATAATATAGAACATATAATACCAACATTGGTATCGGATAGTATCAATATTCGCATGATAGTTTGGATACTTGAGTTTGTTTATACCTTTAGTAACTTGCTCCTGTTCCAAAAATGCAATGCTGCGCTGGAGGAGGCAGCAAAAGGGAATATCAAATGTAAACACCGAACGTTCAAATATTTTAAATACGACTGTTTTCAGACTCCAGCGTGAAATGGGCACACAGAAGGCGTGACGTCACTCACAGCATGCTGTGTTTAAGGAAGTAAATTTGGATTCACTCAACCTTTATTTATACACGTTAGTCTCATTGAGCCTCGAGAACTCATTTACAAGAGAGATCTGTCTTAAAAAAAAGAACACATGAGATACACACAACAATAGACAATCATGTAAAAAGCATATAAAATTAAAGGAAAGTAAAAGAAATTATATAAAAATGAAACAAAACAAAAACAGCTACAATATAAAGCGATGTAAAATACTAAAAGCAGGAACATGTCTACAATGATCTTTGCAGTGAACTTGTCAATTGTTTAAATTTCCTTGAGAGGTCAAAATCAACAACTTCAGATCTTTTTGCAACGTGTTCCAGGAAACAGGAGCAGAATACGAGACTTGGCCTTTTTGCCAAGTTCGGTTCACACTGACGGGACACTGCAGGTAATCATGTCTTGAGAGAGCACGCTGTCGTTGCACTGACCAAGTGACATGTAGGAGGAGATGTATGAAGGCAACAGACCAGGAAGTGATTTAAAGATGAAAATGTACCAGCGAGAGAGTCTGCAAGCATTCATGTAAATAATGTCACCGTAGTCAATGGAGGGAAGGAATGTAGCAGTTACAAGGTGTTTCCTAGCATTCAGAGTTAGACAAGATCTATTTCTGAAAAAGAAACCCAGTTTAGCTTTCAGTTTCTTTACCTTGTTTTCGACGTGGGGCTTAAAAGAGAGATGTGCATCGACCAAGATACTCAAGTATTTGTAAGAATTAACCAACTCAATAGGGACACCATTCGAAGATAAATTAGAAGGAAGGACTGCTGGGACTGACTTCCTGTTTGAAAACAACATCCTTTTGGTTTTATCAACATGTAGCACTAGTTTGAGATGGAAGAATGATCTGACCTACATACCTATGTAGATTGTGAAGAGGGTGGGTCCTAAGACTGAGCCTTGTAGTACACCATTGTTAACAGATAGCTGGAAGAAGTGCCATTATGTTGAACACGTTGCCTCCGATCTGAGAGATATTAGAGAACCAACCGTGCTACACATGTTAGCATGCGCTAACCAGATGCTACACATGTTAGCATGTGTGTATCGATTCTGAAGTTGTTGTGCAATCACAGACAATTAAATTATTATTTTACACGACCTTTAACAACAATTTCCTTACACAAGTTTGTGTAAAGGAAAAAATAAAATTTGACAATGTTTGTGTCTACAGTTATTATTTTTTTCTTTTTAATGTGAGGATTATTAATGTTTTCTATGTAAAAATTGAAAGTTTTCTGCAGATTTTCTTTAACTAAATTTGTATTTATTTATTTTTTTTGCTTTGCAAACTAGTCAGAGTGTAAGCTCTGTTGCATCTTTTAAACTAACCAGGCTTTTATGAATAATTGAATCGTTTGTTTCCAGGCTATAAATACATAAATGATCTTTTTTACTACAAAAAAAATAAAAAATTCAAAACCAGGAATGTGAATGAAGCAATGAGGTGTCATATTTTAAAAGCAAAAAATACAGATTCAGAAAAGCCCAAAGCTTTGATCCTTCAAGTTATTATTATGATTTTTTTTTTAAATAACAAAATCTCAATTATCTAATTTATAAAATCGGACACATTTATACTTGATTTCAACAAAATGCAGATGCAAAACTAGAAATTTTATGTTGGTTACACCATCGTTTATAACATTTTCGAGCGTCTCATAGCTTTCCTCTAGGTTGCTGTCACATGAAAGCCAATTTAGGAACAGCATGCTTCACGTCTGTAACGTTTAAATGCTGCTAATCATTTTCAAAGACGTATTTAATGTAAGAAAAAAAGTCATTTTTTTGTAGAACATTAATTTTCTGCTGTTAATCACAGGTATGAGAAATGCCAAGCAGAAATGAGAAATATAAGGTGGAGAATAAAGAACGGAAAGAGAGACGATAAAAGAAATTTATTGTTAAAAATAACAAAAAAACATGAACCAAAGACGAAAAACTTAAGGATTGCAGCTGGAGTCGGTTTCGAAAGCAAATCCTCGAGTCAGAAAAATGAGAGGAATGAGGTTTAGAGAGCATGAACATGAGGAAGACAGAAATGAAAAGGAAGATGCACAATCTCCTCTTAAAGCTTATGGCTGAGACAGAGAGGATTTTCAGCTTAGCAGATGAGCTTATTGACTCAGCTAAAGAGGTGCTGGACAAATGTGTGCAATTACAAACACGATGAAATGAGCAATTTCTCATTTTCATTCAGTATTCCTCCATTTTTGGCCTGTTTTTCATTGACTTTAAACATCAGTGTATGGACATTTAAAAAACAGGGAACATACAAAAAGGGGTTTCAAATTACACATATAATGAATATCCTTAAAAAAAATAAAACAATGATTTACATATAACTTATGCTACACCATAACAAAACCAAAAAAACTATTGTTAGAAACACAAAAAGAAGTTGTGTTTTTACAGTGTAAGTACAAACTCGCTGGAAAGCAGCATTAAAAAACACCTATTTTCACCCAAATAGTCTAATATTTAAATTTTCAAGTAAAGCCGTATGCTTCCCCCAAAAAAGTTTTGTTCAATTAATTACTAAACTGAAGAGGAATGCTGTTGGTAAGAAAGAAAGAAGAAGAAAAGTGTAAAATTAGTCACAAAATGAACTGACCTCTGACTGGCTGGAAGCACGAGCCCTCAGCAAACGTAACGAGAGCTCGTGGAGAAGCGTGCGATTCTTCTTCGTGTGTTTTCTCGTCTTTTTCTCGTCATTGGTCTTAATTTTTTGAACAAAATCGCCCAAACAAGCATCAATAAGGAGAAACGAACGTTTGTTTACAGTCCAGGGAGGTTTTATCGGTAAAAACAGTGCACTCGCTCCGGTGTAGGTACTCCTGCTCTGAGATAACTGAGGACTTCGCTGCGCGAGCCCCTCCGTTAGACTGGGGGCCGTGACGTCATACAAGGCGGGGCCACAAACCAAGTACATAGCACGCGCGCTGATTTTTAATTTTTTAAAATTTTGTTATTAATTCATTTTATCCTTAAATGTTTGAGACAATAATTCTAATTTGAATCTCTTTTGGCTTTAAAATTGCCCTTTTAAAATGATTATACACGCAGGGAAACGACTGAAAGTCAGAGACACAACAGAAGACTTTAATCTATACAATCATACAAAAAATATCAATACATTGAATCAGAATATATATATTTTATGCGTGAAAAAATATACATAAAAATTATATATATATATATATATATACGTGTATATGTGTATACTTATATATATATATATATATTTATATATATGTATATATACATTTAAATAAACATATGTTTATACATATTTATATATAAACATACAAAGTATATATGTTTTTCTATATATATACATATATGTATAAACATGTTATATATATGTGTGTTTATATA